TGCAAGAGTTACCGTACAACCCGAGTAGTGTACTTTGTCTCCATTGGTCTGCGCATTTTTTTTTTTTGCGGAATCTAGCATGGTACCTACCGTACCAGGTACCTGCGTTGCATGATACCTACTGTACCAGGACCAGGTACCTGTGTAGCATGGTACGTACTATCCCGTAGCTCGATCGCTAGTGCACTCAGCTCATACACTGAGGTCCGAGGTTCGAATCTCCTCCGGTACGGCGGGAAAAACATTAGGGACGCGTTTCCATAAGACATCTGCTGTCCCTGTCCCTGTTCACCCATCAGTATAAAATGGGTACCTGGATGTTAGTAGACTGGTGTGGGTCGCATCCTGGGACAAACTGATCTAATTTGCCCGAAATGCTCAGAACAACAAGCGGCTTTCTATATAGAAGTATGTCATTGATGTACAAGGTATACAAGCCTAGCTGACATGTACTTTTAGTAAATGAAGATATTAATCAAAGAAAGCGCTAAACTGACAAGGGTGGTGGGATGACAGTTCATTAGGTAATTTGAATGTTTACGAAACTTTGACAAGACAGTTATTGAAAGAATAGGGAATGTACCTTTCTTTTGAGCTCTCCTGCCTTGTTAGAAGAACAAAGAGGGAAGAGGAGGAAGGGGAGAAAGTTTTAAGAAATCAGAGCTTGTAACACCTGCACTTCACAGTTACTACATTAAACACCTGCCTACAAATAACTACTTATATATATTATAAAGTCTTCAGTAATGATATATATATATATATATATATATATATATATATATATATATATATATATATATATATATATATATATAATCTTTATTTCTTCTATTGTCCATGGGGAAGTGGAAAAGAATCTTTCCTCCGTAAGCCATGCGTGTCGTATGAGGCGACTAAAATGCCGGGAGCAATGGGCTAGTAACCCCTTCTCCTGTAGACATTTACTAAAAAAGAGAAGAAAAACTTTATAAAACTGGGATGCTTAAATGTGCGTGGATGTAGTGCGGATGACAAGAAACAGATGATTGCTGATATTATGAATGAAAAGAGGTTGGATGTCCTGGCCCTAAGCGAAACAAAGCTGAAGGGGGTAGGGGAGTTTCGGTGGGGGGAAATAAATGGGATTAAATCTGGAGTATCTGAGAGAGTTAGAGCAAAGGAAGGGGTAGCAGTAATGTTGAATGATCAGTTATGGAAGGAGAAAAGAGAATATGAATGTGTAAATTCAAGAATTATGTGGATTAAAGTAAAGGTTGGATGCGAGAAGTGGGTCATAAGCGTGTATGCACCTGGAGAAGAGAGGAATGCATAGGAGAGAGAGAGATTTTGGGAGATGTTAAGTGAATGTATAGGAGCCTTTGAACCAAGTGAGAGTAATTGTGGTAGGGGACCTGAATGCTAAAGTAGGAGAAACTTTTAGAGAGGGTGTGGTAGGCAAGTTTGGGTGCCAGGTGTAATGATAATGGGAGCCCTTTGATTGAACTTTGTATAGAAAGGGGTTTAGTTATAGGTAATACACATTTTAAGAAAAAGAGGATAAATAAGTATACAAGATATGATGTAGGGCGAAATGACAGTAGTTTGTTGGATTATGTATTGGTAGATAAAAGACTGTTGAGTAGACTTCAGGATGTACATGTTTATAGAGGGGCCACATATATATCAGATCACTTTCTAGTTGTAGCTACACTGAGAGTAAAAGGTAGATGGGATACAAGGAGAATAGAAGCATCAGGGAAGAGAGAGGTGAAGGTTTATAAACTAAAAGAGGAGGCAGTTAGGGTAAGATATAAACAGCTATTGGAGGATAGATGGGCTAATGAGAGCATAGGCAATGGGGTCGAAGAGGTATGGGGTAGGTTTAAAAATGTAGTGTTAGAGTGTTCAACAGAAGTTTGTGGTTACAGGAAAGTGGGTGCAGGAGGGAAGAGGAGCGATTGGTGGAATGATGATGTGAAGAGAGTAGTAAGGGAGAAAAAGTTAGCATATGAAAAGTTTTTACAAAGTAGAAGTGATGCAAGGAGGGAAGAGTATATGGAGAAAAATAGAGAGGTTAAGAGAGTGGTGAAGCAATGTAAAAAGAGCAAATGAGAGAGTGGGTGAGATGTTATCAACAAATTTTGTTGAAAATAAGAAAGTTTTGGAGTGAGATAACAAGTTAAGAAAGCCTAGAGAACAAATGGATTTGTCAGTTAAAAATAGGAGAGGAGAGTTATTAAATGGAGAGTTTTGAGGTATTGGGAAGATGGAGGGAATATTTTGAGGAATTGTTATATGTTGATGAAGATAGGGAAGCTGTGATTTCGTGTATAGGGCAAGGAGGAACATCTTGTAGGAGTGAGGAAGAGCCAGTTGTGAGTGTGGGGGAAGTTCGTGAGGCAGTAGGTAAAATGAAAGGGGGTAAGGCAGCCGGGATTGATGGGATAAAGATAGAAATGTTAAAAGCAGGTGGGGATATAGTTTTGGAGTGGTTGGTGCAATTATTTAATAAATGTATGGAAGAGGGTAAGGTACCTATGGATTGGCAGAGAGCATGCACAGTTCCTTTGTATAAAGGCAAAGGGGATAAAAGAGTGCAAAAATTATAGGGGGATAAGTCTGTTGAGTATACCTGGCAAAGTGTATGGTAGAGTTATTATTGAAAGAATTAAGAATAAGACGGAGAATAGGATAGATGAACAAGGAGGCTTTAGGAAAGGTAGGGGGTGTGTGGACCAGGTGTTTTACAGTGAAACATAAGTGAACAGTATTTAGATAAGGCTAAAGAGGTCTTTGTGGCATTTATGGATTTGAAAAGGCGTATGACAGGGTGGATAGGGGGCAATGTGGCAGATATTGCAGGTGTATGGTGTAGGAGGTAGGTTACTGAAAGCAGTGAAGAGTTTTTTACGAGGATAGTGAGGCTCAAGTTAGAGTATGTAGGAAAGAGGGAAATTATTTCCCAGTAAAAGTAGGCCTTAGACAAGGATGTGTGATGTCACCGTGGTTGTTTAATATATTTATAGATGGGGTTGTAAGAGAAGTAATGCGAGGGTCTTGGCAAGAGGCGGGAGTTAAAAGATAAAGAATCACACAAAGTGGGAGTTGTCACAGTTGCTCTTTGCTGATGACACTGTGCTCTTGGGAGATTCTGAAGAGAAGTTGCAGAGATTGGTGGATGAATTTGGTAGGGTGTGCAAAAGAAAATTGAAAGTGAATACAGGAAAGAGTAAGGTTATGAGGATAACAAAAAGATTAGGTGATGAAAGATTGGATATCAGATTGGAGGGAGAGAGTATGGAGGAGGTGAATGTATTCAGATATTTGGAGTGGACGTGTCAGCGGATGGGTCTATGAAAGATTGAGGTGAATCATAGAATTGATGAGGGGAAAAGGGTGATGGTGCACTTGGGAGTCTGTGGAGACAAAGAACTTTGTCCGTGGAGGCAAAGAGGGGAATGTATGAGAGTATAGTTTTTACCAACGCTCTATATACGGTTGTGAAGCATGGGTGATGAATGTTTGCAGTGAAGAGAAGGCTGGGGGCAGTGGAGATGTCATGTCTGAGAGCAATGTGTGGTGTGAATATAATGCAGAGAATTCGTAGTTTGGAAGTTAGGGGGAGGTGCGGGATTACCAAACTGTTGTCCAGAGGGCTGAGGAAAGGGGTTTTGTTGAGGTGGTTCGGACATGGAGAGAATGGAGCGAAACAGAATGACTTCAAGAGTGTATCAGTCTGTAGTGGAAGGAAGGCGGGTAGGGGTCGGCCTAGGAAAGGTTGGAGGGAGGGGGTAAAGGAGGTTTTTGTGTGCGAGGGGCTTGACTTCCAGCAGCGTGCTTGAGCGTGTTTGATAGGAGTGAATGGAGACAAATGGTTTTTAATACTTGACGTGCTGTTGGAGTGTGAGCAAAGTAACATTTATGAAGGGGTTCAGGGAAACCGGCAGGCCGGACTTGAGTCCTGGAGATGGGAAGTATAGTGCCTGCACTCTGAAGGAGGGGTGTTAATGTTGCAGTTTAAAAACTTTAGTGTAAAGCACCCTTCTGGCAAGACAGTGATGGAGTGAATGATGGTGAAAGTTTTTCTTTTTCGGGCCACCCTGCCTTGGTGGGAATCGGCCAGTGTGATAATAAAATAAAATAAATATAAAATGGTCCACTCGTGTCGTGTGGGGGACCCATGACCTCGGGAAGGTAGATAGAAATGTTTGAGGTAAAATATTTTGGATTTCTTCCGGAGACAGTTTGAATATTATATTACTACTACTAATACTCCATATATTAAAAATGCTATACTACGACTCTAAAAGTTCTCCATATCGGAGTTTGACGTGGAAGAGAATATCAATAAATATTGGTGGTCAGACAGCATTAAATTTTTAATTGTAGAAAATAAGCTATTATAGAATCATGCTTAACGAGTTATTGATATAATGAATACTTCGGTAAGTATTTTACACGTGCTTTTCAATTATAATCGGCACTCGTTCAAAATATACATAGCAGCTGTGAGTCAGAACCTCTAAACTGCACGGATGTTGAAGAGGTAGGTAGGTAGGTGCTGGAGGAGGATGGGGGGGGGGTTGGTGTTCGTCCACCACTCAAAATGACAGATCTTAAAGTTTTCCCTGTAGCCTCGATACCGACAACTTGGTTTAAAAAGACAAGTGAGCGACAACTAGAACATGTTTATTAGGAACACATCGGTCCTGGGACCTTGATCACTTAACGTTTTCTAAGTAAACATGTACTGGTGTTTGTTCAGGTGTCTTTTTAAGCCAAATAATTCATTATGCACTGGAAGGGAAACTCGCTGTTGGAATATTTACATATCCAGGAAAACAACTGGTTCTTAATTTGGCCTTAGTTTACATCAGTAAACAATACCCAGGGCAAAATATCTTTGTCTTTTTGCATTACTACATCACAACAGAGAATGCAAACTCACCTTAATAACTTATCTCAACCTCATAACCCGAATGCACGGATATTTAAGTAGAAATGAAGTACTTACTAAAACTATTTGTGGATGGCTTAGTGCAGAATAAGGTGCCAGTCGAGTATCTCCCAGCGAGTTAATAGGGCAATGGACTGGGGAGGACAGGAATTTCAGCAGAATCTTCACCACCAGGCACGAGGAAATTTTAGAAATCTTATTACACCAGATTTCTACCGCATCCGTGACCCAAACTGGGAATCTGTATTGCGAAAAGGGTCAGTAATTGCTTAAAGGTAAAGATTGGCTGTTTATCAGCAAAATCACATTAGCTACATGTGTTGGAGAGATGACACCCATGTGGGAAGAATAATTATAAACGACAGGCTACAAGAAAGCGATGTAAATTAGAACACACAGGCCAAGTTAGACAAAATGACTTGGCTAGCCTCTAGTACATACAAGCTTACTAGCGGTAGCCTAATCAGATGCCTCAACACACATTATTGCAACTGGTAACCTGAATACTAAAAACTGGCAAGTACCTGCTGGTACTGCAGAGCCTCACATGGAAAACAAGGTACACAATCATTTGCATGTGGCAGGAAGGGAAGGGGGGGGGGGTAAACCGAGTCTGCAAATCTTTGATAGGGGAAAGGGCAGGTTTGACTGAAAACTTTGAAAAATGTGAAAGGGAAAATATGCGTAGGTATGAAATCCCCTAGAAGGTCCGTTTTTTATTTTTAACTGCCAGAATTATATTGGAATAATTATACATGGCAAGTAAATGGTGAAACCAGTGAGGATCCACTCTTTCATTCACAATTCAATGTAAAAGTTTCCTAAGGAAACTGTAGCACGTCTTACTTTACAGAATACCACTAATACATAAACCAGGAGGTGCGGGATTACCAAAACTGTTGTCCAGAGGGCTGAGGAAGGGTTGTTGAGGTGGTTCGGACATGTAGAGAGAATGGAGCGAAACAGAATGACTTCAAGAGTGTATCAGTCTGTAGTGGAAGGAAGGCGGGGTAGGGTCGGCCTAGGAAGGGTTGGAGGGAGGGGGTAAAGGAGGTTTTGTGTGCGAGGGGCTTGGACTTCCAGCAGGCATGCGTGAGCGTGTTTGATAGGAGTGAATGGAGACAAATGGTTTTTAATACTTGACGTGCTGTTGGAGTGTGAGCAAAGTAACATTTATGAAGGGATTCAGGGAAACCGGCAGGCCGGACTTGAGTCCTGGAGATGGGAAGTACAGTGCCTGCACTCTGAAGGAGGGGTGTTAATGTTGCAGTTTAAAAACTGTAGTGTAAAGCACCCTTCTGGCAAGACAGTGATGGAGTGAATGATGGTGAAAGTTTTTCTTTTTCGGGCCACCCTGCCTTGGTGGGAATCGGCCGGTGTGATAATAAAAAAAAAAAAAAACCAGACCAGCAGAAATGTGGAGAGGAACTTGCGAGATTTCAAGAGATTTTCGACCAAAAATCCCTCGCCGTCCTCGGCAATAAGCAGGAGTTAAAGGCACTCAATGTGCGCCTCTCTGGTTGCTCGGCAAACATCGATGAGATAGGCCAGTTCGGTCCAGCAGCATGTCTGGTGTTATCATACGAACTGCTTCAACTGGACTATCGCATCGATGTTTACCGAGCAACCAGAGAGGCGCACAATGAGTGCCTTAATGCTACTCTATATCACATGAAACAATTAAATCTTGCATCTGAAGCTACTGTGAAAGATTATTACAATCAAGTTACATGTTATATCTGTTTTAAGTCAGGGAGTGTTTTTTGTGGTCACCCTGTATAATGTAAACTATATTATAAGTCATTCTGCCTTTTGAAAAATTGGCATTCACCTTATAATGACTTCAATTTTATGTAAATTCTCCTCAGTGTAATGCTATGGTATTTTTTACTCATTGGTAAGGAAGGATCCAAGAATAAGGATAGATTTTTTTCCTTGTATTTTCAGAATGTGGAATGGAGTGATTAGCAAGTCACATTGTAGTAAATTTTGGTACAAGAATGTTAACATCAGTAGCAACTGTCTCTGACGGAATGATGTGAACAAGACGGTCTAAGGTATATAGTATGTATTAAAGTGGGATTACCTTCCCTTGAATGAAATATCCAATGAATATTCAGTTCTATAAGAGACCCGCATATTGAAAGGATTAGATTTATCTACCTCTGGTAAATCAAAATACGTTTTTGCTGCAAGAGAAAGCAATCAGGTTCGATCCAAATAAGGGTAAGATCAATTTCTTGGTTCAAAAGCTTCTCTCTAAAGTCAGAGCCTTTATTAAGAGTTGAAACATTAATCCGCTCACGCTTTGGATGAAATTAAAGACGGAAAGTATAAAAATGACTCCTCTTTCATGAACTTTGAATTTTGTGGCAAGAATCTAGCATTCTTTGAAGAAAAACCAAACAGTTCTCTTTGAAGGGTTGTGGAGGTGCTGCAGAAATCTGGGCTTGTCTCTGACGAATTCCACCATATATTTCAAGCAATGGAGTGAACACGAAGTCATCCTTAACCCTGATTCTTGAGGAAAACCAGAGGAATGGTGGCGCCACGGGTGTCCCAGTGGCTGCTGACGACCCTAGCGGCCAGTGTGTCCTCGACCGTGGCGTGGGAAGGTGTGGCGTCAAGAAGGCGCTATAGAGGAGTCTCGCCTCGCTCGCCGCTCGAAGAACCCATGCTGGTGCCTACTTCACGCGCTCCGTGATAATTTTTGGTCTGCGCTTCCATAGGAAAAGATGTGGAGACGTTATCCGTTAGATGGAAAATATATGTTGATGGCTGCTTCAGTGGTTATAAACAAGTGGCTCTTCAAAAACAATATGCGTACGGGCCTCTCAAAATTAGGCTTCTGAAAGTATATTCCTCTTGAGAGCGATTTTTTTTGCCTGAAAGGTCTCCCGAATATAAAATTATGTCTAATCTCGTACGAAATTTAAATAGAGCATCTATGAGACTCAGTATTCTTCATAAATCTGAAGATTTTCAACAAGTCTGCAAATTGTAGAGGTTCGCTAGTGTTCACCATATGCGAAGAATCATCCATTACTACCTATTTGTAGTTATACGAGCAGTCTGCCCCGTTCTAAGTGTTTTAGTACGTCAATTATGTTCTACAAATCCCCATTTAAGTTTTTTACTATTAGTCTAGAAAAAGGTAGGTTCTACATCCTATGCTCACGCTTACTGTATACATTCACCTGTTTGTGGTTGTAGGAGGTAGGGTCACCGCTCTCCATCTTTTCATGTTCTGATTTATTCCCTCAGCCTCGAAGGCTGTCACTTCTATTCTTAAAAGTATGTATGGAACCAGTTAACACTGCTATTTCAGGTCATTACACTTCTTGACCATCTTCAGCTTGAGTCAACTTCCTGACATCATAGCGACTTCTTCGACCACCACCAGCGCCCTTGTGTGCTTGTTTACCACCCCTAGAACTGTCTATCCCGGTATATTTCACATGAACTTTGAGGAGTCATTCATGTTGTAATGATGTTAGTAGAATTACCGGCAGTATGTTAGCTTGACAAAGCTCCTGGAGAGCGAAACGTTGCCACAATAAAAATGTTGCATTAGTTGCACTTGTGTCCTTTTTCCACTTATTCACGTATATTAAAATATTCATTGGGAAGTACCGAACTTTTAAGGCCTATGCAATAGCCTAAGAAATACAGATTTAAGAAGCGGGGAAGGGAAAAGTCAAGTTTGATTGCAGGAAAATAATGCCAGCTTCAAGGTTCTTGACATGTATGGAAATGCGTAAGTTCAGTTTCCATCTGTGACTTTCTTGTTTCGCTTGTACAGTGTCCTGTTTGTTGTGATTACGTCTCATTGCTTGTTCTTTTGTCCTCTAGTATTGCAACTTCTAGTTCATGTTCTACTTTTAACACATGCTCCAGTGTCTTTCAGCAAATCTCTGGACCTTCGAGTCTAAATGGCGGTTCAAGATCAGTGTTACCTAATCATTTGATCCAGTATGTGACGTGTACAAGATTCTCAATGATTCCTTATGTGCCTTAATGCCATTATGAAGTTTGCTAAGTTAGCGTATGCCATCGATGAACTTTCAGGGAACATTTGTACCATGATGTTAAAATTTAATTTCTTGATACTTCAGCTGCTCTCATTCCCTATGGCACTCCTCTCTGCACGTCACATTTCACTAAATTATAATTACTTCCGATATACTCACGCAAGTACTTTCCTGACCATTTTTTTAACCAGTAACGATAGACTTGAGGTTTGCTGTAGGCTTCCATTTGGACTAACACGTTTAGCAACTTTGAAAAGAAAAGTACATAAAAGATTTATGCCTCGTGGGAGGATCCCACATCAGCAGTATGGGACCCAAAAGAAATTGCACCTCATCCTTATCCTCCACTCCCCAGGCACTGTATAATCCCTACATCCTCTTCTGACATCCGCTTCAGTCTGTCTTTATTCAGTCAGTTTTATTCAGGCTTACTTTTCCAGCCTTACAGACTTTCTTTGATAGCTTGTAGTTCAGCATTCATTGTAACACGAAAGCTTTATTGCAGGCGAAGAAAATTCAGTCCCCCCCCCCCTCTTTATTTTTCTGGGTCTGTCATCAATTTCCGTCAAGTTAGCAAGGAAGGACACCATATTAAAACTCACCATGTGGTGGGTGCTGCTGCCGTTCAGAGATTAATCTCACATCAAGACTTTCTACTAATCTCATTATCTGTCTACACGAGATGCCAGTCAGTGACTGGCATCTAGTGATTGCATTTCATCTCTTAGGTCTCTTGAATATGCCTATTTCCATCGATTTCATGAGGTTTTTCACTACTGGTCTGCTGAAAGCAACATTGTCCTCGTTATGCATGGATTTATTTTCGCTCTGCTCGGTACAGTGTTTTCTTCAGTTGTTGCCATGCCTGCTTATTCACTTCATTAGCGGTTTCTCTTTCCTGTTCTGGTAGTGGGGGAAGGGGGGGCACTGCTCTGGTAGTAGGGAGGGGAGAGGGTACAGTTATTATAATAAAGAAGCGCTAAACCTACAAGGGTCATACAGCGCCGCCTGGTAGGGAAGGATGCAGGGGTATTGGGTAGCAAGCGGGAAAGGGATTATTAGGTGATGGAGTGTAGCGAGGCAGTGGATAGTACAGAGGTAGAGAGTAGCAAGAGACTGAGGTAGAAAGGGCTGTGAGGAGTACTAGAGGCATCATCAGAGTTTGTGTAGTAAATCAGTTGCTGTCAAAAAGTCAACGAGAGAGTGGGTT